GAGACGCAGTGGGCAGTACTGGTAATAAAGAGAGATCACTCAGTAGCAGCCCCAGCTCCTGTTCCTGGAGCACAGACTAGCCTGGCACCGGACTCTTTGCCCTTCATGACTGAGCTCTTCCCTCGTCACGGCCGCTGTTTTACAGATCGGCATTGAGAGAGGTGCAGCCACTGCTTAGGTTTACCAAGCTAGCAGGCCTTGAAACTGCGTTTAAAGCCCTGTCCCTCTGCTCAAAGCCTGGCCCCTGAAAGGTGGCCTTTCTCTAGATCACAGATTTTGCAGGGGTGGGAACTGTGTGACACTAAGCAGCGACTGTTGCTAAGAGTGAGGATGCCTGTGAAGAGCCCCCAGAGCCCTAATTACCTATGGCAAGGAAAACATCTGTGTGGGGAAAGTAATGAAATTAATTCTAAAGTCTAGCAGTTGCATGCATTAATTGACGTTAATTAATGCCAAATTACAAGATACTTCCTATGGAATCACATCATACACTCACTAGAATTGAATATGGAAAGAGTTCATCATACTTAATGTTATTACAGCAAGCCCCAAGGGGAATAAGAGTGATTGGTCCCTCATTATGAAGTGCAGCCAATTTCTTTCTGTTTCCATTAGAAGGAGAAAGAGAACAAACCAGGAACACTTTACCAGGGGCAGGCAGCTCAAACCTGTTCATTTCCCCTTCAGCTTGCAAATTTCACTTTGAGCCACTCTAAGCAAGAAATGGTTTTAAGACCTCTTCCTGGGGCATTCCTTGTGTCACCCAGCTGAAGCTTCTGTATTTCTTAGCCAGAGGACAGGCTCATGGCACGTATTGCTCATAGTGCTCCACCTCAATATGTGTCATGTAGAGGAAGATCGAAAAGCAGAGGAATTAGAGATGGTTCTCTAAGTCTTGAGAGACAGATCTCACAAGCCTACCGTGGACCACAACCCCTCCACCCCCTGGGTTAAGAGATACTGACCAGGGGATTTGCACACAGAGTTGTCTCCCTCTCTCACATCACTGCCTGTATGCTACTGTTGACATCTCCTATATATCTTTTATTCATTTTTCCAGTGCAAACATACATATGTAGGTATCTATATATACAACTTGCCCAGAATCTGGTTGATACGCACATATTTTGGTAACCTAAAAAACTTTTATTTTAGAATAATTTTAGGTAAGCAGAAAAGTTACCAAGACAGTAGTACAGCTTTTGCCTAGCTTCTCCTAATGTTAACATCTGGAACAACCAAAGTCTGTTTTTCAAAACTAAGAAATTAACATTGATACAATATTATTAATCACTAAACTATTTTTATTATATGAAAAGTATTAAGCACTTCTGTACATACTTGTATACTCTTTAGAAGCACGGTTTTAATCACAAACCATACATGTTCTGAAGTTTTCAAAAATTATTCCCCCATTTTTGGCTATTCTTTTCTCTTTCTATTATAAACAACACTGATAAATATTGAAATAGCTAAATCTTTGCATAGATCACTAATTATTTCCTTGGGTAGAATTCTCAGAAATGAACGTGAGGTTAAAAGATCTCATTTTCAAGGGTCTTGATTCATATTGCCAAATTACCTCAAAAAAATATAAATTTACTGGTCTTTTTTTTTTTTTGTATCTAGGTGTATGCATTGATACTTAGCTCAAAGCCAAAATATACTTAACAAAAATTGGCCCCCAGTTCATCGGCATTTTTCACACAGCATAGAGTAGTAGAAATAAAAGCCTTGGAGCCAACCAAGTTTGAAACCCATAATGCCATTTCTATAAATCGTGATCTATTTGAGCTTCATTCTCTTTATCTAAAAAATCAGTTGATATATTATACTTTGTCATACTGTGAAGATTAAATGTATGAAATAAAGGTGAACGTGCTTCAGAGTACCTGGTACATAGATGGTCAACAAACGTTAGTTTCCCTGTTCTTTTATTTTCTTCCCAAATCCCTTAGATTCACAATTTCCAAATAGTTGAGTTATAAATATGAAAATTGTATCTTTATATTTTCCATCTTGTGCTTGTTCAGGAACCTTTGAAAAGGAGGTTAAAGTCTTAAGAAAGAAACTCTTAGACTCCATTACACATAAAACAAGCACTGTGTATTTATCAAGAAGTCCTCATTAGGTGGCAGTCCCAAGAAATTTTGATTGGAAGTTGTATTTGTAATTTGAAGACCAAGACCTCTTAATCAAGAACTTTTGATTCAGTTTGGTTAATCGTTGTTTTTATTCATTATCTCACATAAGAAGCACAGAGAGCAACTCTGGGCTCAGTACAATCAGTAACTCAGTGTCATCTGGAAATAGGTCCTTTCCATCTCTTTACATACTCATTATGTAAGTTTAACTGTAAGACTGGCTCCTCTGTGTAAAAAGAAGGCTAACGCAGTCCCAAGCCTCCCACTGGACACAGTGTTCTAGAGGGGCAGAAGAGGGTCTTCTGCTGTAGCTCCTCGTCCCCCCCCTGCAGCCCCTTCTCATTTACTATGACAGGATTTTAATGCCCTTTCCTGAACCAACCAGTGGCAAGGGGAGTAGGAAGACCTTGAATGGGCATAGACCCAAAAGGATTAATCCTTGCGTATGAGCACTTATCAGTCACACAGGAGGGAGGACAAGCCTACAGATCCAGTATTGGCTTTTCTATTAAAGAGGCCGGGAAGAATGGGTATTGGCAGGTCACTGAGGGAACATAACTGATAGAGAAACATAACTGGAGTGCTCAAATTCAGTTTAACTACCCTTTTAAAGGACCTCCTGTGTGCCCCCAAACTGATCTTATCACTGTGAAAGGTAGCAAAAGAGAAAATAGGAATATTACCATTATTGATAACAACTGAGATCTGTATACATTTGAGTTTAGAAAAACATGCAGCATATACATTAATTAGAGCCAAACTGCAAGAGCAGTGATGTTGGCATCCCCATTTAATGGATGTGGGTAGCAAGACTCAGGAGGATGAAATGATTTCTTTTGAGCTATGCAGCTAGTAAGTGATCAAGCCCAGGTCTCATAGCTTGCCAGTGTCCATTGTTTCTGTGCCCCCAGGCTACCTTTAGGAAAACAGAAGTTGATTAAAAATTGTAGAAGGGTCTGGTGGAGTGTGAAATTGTGAGGTAAAGATTTTGTGTGCTGTAGTGGTGGGGAAGGACTGAGTCACAGAAATTGTCTTCAAGGAGAAAGATCTTGAGTTATGCCTGAAAATAAAACTATGATAACTAAAACTAAGAATGTTTGCAAAAGGAGATAATTAAGAGTGAGTAGTGGCTCTTCTTTAGTTTATCTCTGGAGATGATTTCACCAGGACTAGATGGCTTAAAGTACTTCAGAGCCATCCCATCCCCACAGATGGCAGTAGGATGAAGGATTTTGTAGATAATGGTCTCCTCCAGTCTCCTAAGAGCTTATCAGCAATTACATCAGTCATTGGTCAGATGGAGGAAACGTGCATGCCGCCCCCTAGTGGTCCTCCTTCTGGAATACAGGTTTACCCAAGTTCCTTAAGTAAAGATGATCCTGGAAATTTTCTTCAGGAAGTCATTAGCAAATCCTTGTATCCAACTCAGTAGTGTTGCGTACCCCCATTTCATGTAAGTCTTCATCTCCTGATCTCTTTTTAATTTGAAAGAGTGGATTTCTGTATATATCCCTGATGTTCTAAAAGCAAACTCATCCTTTCATTCAGCATCAAAATAAAAAAGTAAACTTTTTCATTTTATATATATATATATATATATATCTCAAGAAGCACATTCCCGTGAGTATTTACTTATTTCCCAATATGTGCCTGGAACAGTATTAGAACCTGGGGGTACGTTAGTGAACAACCAGAAAAGGCAGTCACTGTCTTCAAGGAGATTATAGTCTAATGGAGAAGGACAGAAATAAATAAGGAACAGGTATTTTATATTGTGATAAATTCCATGAAGGGAATTGACAAAATGGTGTGTGATCAATAGTAATAATGGAAGACTCTCCAAAGTAATACTGCACTGAAATCTAGAACGTTCTTTGTGAACAACCTGGAGAGAAGCATTTCAGGCAGAGGGAATACAAATGAAAAGTCTCTTACGTGGGTAGAAAGTTTGGCCACATTTCCGAACATAAAGGAGACCAAATGAGAAGAATCACAGAGAGAAGAAGAGATTAGCATGTGGGGAAATTGGAGTGGTGGGTCCTAGAGGGTTTGAATTTATTTTAAATACAATGAGGGAAAAGGAGTTTTAAGTAAGGAAGCGACATCTGATTAGTAGACAGGGCAGAATAGTTGTAGTTGAAAAACCAAGACAGCCTCCCTGGTACAGTGTACTTCCAGCAATAGATATCAAATCTATGTAAAAATTATTATCACTGATAGGTTTCCCATCTGCTGGGAGAGGCAGAAGAGGGTCTTCTGCTGCAGCAGAAGTCTCAGGTGGGGTTAGTTTACTTTTCTGTAAAATGAGAGCAGAGCTTTGGACTCAGGAATCTCCTCTCTATTCTGTTTCACTTCTAATCCTTAGGAGAAGAAAAGCCTTTTTCTTGCCATGGAATCTTCCTGTTTATAACAGTACACTTCTTGCATGAGATGACTGGTGATTGCGTGTATGACATGTTTACCTGCCTGTTGGTCAAAGGTCAAAGTGTGGAGAAAGAGCCTACAAGTGCAAAACAAAATGAAACAAAAAATACCCGACAAAATCACTAGTATTAATGGCAGTTTTTAAAAATGTTTTCATTTAGGTTTGGGAGGGGAGAATTAATTAATGAGAATTTAGTATTCCAGGATGGCAAGATCTGGTGGAGGCACTGGGGCATAGTGGCGATGGTGTTGCTAGAAAGTGAGTAAAACAATAACGATACTACTTTTAACAATAATAACAGGCTGAATAATGCAGTTAAAGAATGTGAGGTTTGTTTAAAGAATTGGAGATAGCAAGGGAAATGGAAAATGTCCACTCCGAGTCCAATACTCTGTGTGTATACATCCCATGTACCCTTTTTTTTTTTTCAGATTCACAATACCTAACTTGCCGAATGCAGAACTGCACAGAGGCCAACAGAAATAAACCTTTCCCAGGCTACATTGACCCAGACTCTTTGATTGTCCAGGATGATTACGTGTTTGTTCAGGTATGAAAGATCCACTTCTGCTGATTGTCTCAGACATTTCTCTTTCCTGCTTCTGTCCTAATGCAGCCTCCTTAAGCCTGCTTACACTCCCTTGAGAGTAAAAAAGGAAAGAAAAAAAAATCATTCTCCTTTTGACAGAAGGAGCATTACCAAGTGTTGAAGCTTCTATGCTAACAGAATATTAATTAACTCCTTTGGGCATTGTCTGGAGGACCTTATCAATATGGGGTCATGGAGGTCAAGGTTGTCTCAGAATGATGCACACTTCTATTCACCCCCCTCCTCTGCCTTCATGGGACTGAGCAGATATGTCAGTCTCTTCCTATCAGAATAGTCAGCCAATCAGCCTGTTCCCCAATATTCACCTTAAAAATAGAGAAACAGATGGGAGCAGGAAGCTGTGGGGTAGCTGGTGGTGGTGGGAGGCAGGGGTGAGGTGGGAGAGTAATCAGCTGTTATTGTCAGGCTCTGACTGTGATTAGGATCAGAATTAGATGAGATGAGATGTGCTCAGCCGGGTTTTTCACCCCTGAAGAGAGTAGCAAACCTTTGAGGTTGAATGGTTAGAACAGACAGGGAGCAAGTATGCTTTGCTTCTTTTCAGCATTTAAGGAAAATTCTAGGCTTGTTTAGATAATGCGTCAGTTATTAGTTAAGTTTGGACAGACTTCACTTATTGCTTCCCATACTAAGAGTGGCAAAGGCACAATTGCTAAATAGTTTATATCTGTGTAGTTTATATATTAAATATATATTTATATGTATTTGCTTATTTATACATACTATGTATACATATACACACAATTTCACTATGATTGAGACACATTCTAAACACTGTTTATGTGTTTGGACAAGAAATCATAATTAAGAATATTCAATCCCATGTTTTGAGGAAGCAAATGTTCAAAATGCCCAACATCAGCCTATGTACTCTTAAAATGTTTCACAAATGGCTACACACAAACACACACACACACACACACACACACACACACCCGCACAGACACACATATATCAATTTTCCTGAGGGAAATGAGTAATGAGTACTCTGATAACTTCAACATCAAATTATCAAGTGATATTAAAATGGTTACACGTATTGGTTCTATCTATAATTCATTTCTCTGTCACTGTTTCTCCCAGCAACCGTTTCTGTTTTCTAATAATGGTTTATAATTCACATACATAACTTACAAATGGGAATCACTTCTGCATTTGGAGTGTCATATATTTTCTACCCATGCCACTGTGAACATGATCCTACAGCCTGTCACAAGGACTACAAGGGGATCTGGCCCCATAATGGGGAAATGATAACTTCTGGTCACTTTTTTATGTGTCTGGGGCATGTTCCCCCAGAGCATGTGTTGACACAGTCTGAGCATGCACACTCTAGTAGCTGGTATCCCAACTCTGGATATTTATATGGATTAAGAGTGACTAAACCAAGTCACAGAAACAGGGAGTAGATGGTGGTTGCCAGGGGTTGGGAGGTGGAAGATGGGAGTCAAAGGGTACACATTTCCAGCTATTAAATGAGTAACTTCTGGGGATCTAATGTACAACTTAGTGACTATAATCAACAACACTGTAATATATACTTGACAGTTGTTAAGACAGTAGATTTTTAAAGATATCATCACACACAAAATATCATAATGAAGTGAGGGGACAGAGGTGTGAACTAACCTTATGGCGGTAATCATTTTGCAGTATACACATGCATCAAACCATCAGGTACCATCTTAAACTCACATACGTTATATGTGAATAATATCTCAATAAAGCTGGGAAACAAGAGTGGCCACAGAGGAGAGAGATGGTCAGTGGAGCCTGGGACACTTCATGGGATAGTGCTCATGCTGAGGTGGAGACCACACCCCTTCTTGCTCTCCCTGGCACCCATGGGGTTCACAGGGCTGTATGTGCCAGACAGACGTGGAGGAGGTCATTCACAGTTCTCTTCTGGGAGATAGAGATCTATAGTGATTTTGGACCACGATCCTGGTCAGCTTCCCGTCTACTGTGTCAGCAGCACTGTTGGATCTGACACATACTCAGAGGCATCAATGAGACAGCCTCAGATGGAATTCAGTGCTCGGAGGTGAGGGGCTCCTGCTCTGGCACTGTCTGACCTGGGCCATTTCCTTCCAGTATGGCTTGGGGACCTGTTTGCACACACATAGTCGGGCTAGACAGCTGGGGACTGCTGATGGGCATGAAGCTAATCTACTCTGTGGCTTGTATCATTAAAAAAAAGAAGAAGAAGAAAAGAAAGAAACTGAAATGTATCTTGGCTTCTGAGCCACAGGGCAAATTGAAGAATTATATTTTCATGCAGTGGGTTTAGCTTGGACCTCTGACCAACTCACATACACTGTATGAGTTGTTTTTGAATGGAACTCTAGTTCTTCACAATTATCCACAATAGTCATTCACACTGCTGGGTTGGCAGCTAGCCCCCACCATTCATGGCTGTTTCTCTATGGCCTGTAACTGTTATAACAGCTCCTCTTACCTTTGTGTTTGTGATCCAGCTGACATCAGGAGGACGGCCACATTACTACGTATCCTACCGGAGGAATGCCTTTGCCCAAATGAAGCTGCCCAAATATGCTTTGCCCAAGGTATGACCTGAATGGATTTCTTCATTTCAGTATTTTTCCAATTCCCCTATTCTTGCCTTCACCCCTTTCCCAAGGACCCTCATATTCATTTATCTTTTCTCATCCCCCCATGACCATTTTTCAACTTCTCACTCTCTCTGATTCTTGCTATAGGAGCATCTGAATAGATTGTCAACTGATTTGCTTTTGTTTTTCAGTAATAAAGATTTTCAAGCAGTATGTATGGGTATTCTAGCAAGACAGAAAATAGGCTTTGGATACACGTTATATCAGTACAACAGGTGTGATACATTTCTATCCCATTTTATTGTTAATTATTGAGAAGTGGCACATCTAGATGACACCCAACCTTTGCTTTGTCTCTCAATGGAACTTATGAGACTGGTTTTAGAGTTCTGAAGCACAGCTAATTTTTTGGACTTCCCCAAAGACATACTCCTTTGAAAATAATGACAGACAAAAGTTAAAGACCCTCTCAACTGCTGACATCCCTGGGCTAGCTTTCCAGAAACACTGAACAACTGTGTTAATATGGAGCGCCACCTAGTGGAGGACAAACTGACTTGGGAGCTCGAAGTTATGTGGATTTGTGGTCTGAAATAGTCAATGTATTGTGCCTTGATCTTAGAGCAAAGGATGTATGTATGGCTGTAGGAGGGAACAGTGCAGGTTTAAATGTAGTTGTAGCTCAGCTTTGAAACCTTCAGGTTGGACAAAGAACATAGGGAACTTTTTTTGATTGAGTGTTCATGACTACTTATCTTGTGTTTTTATCCATGAGTCTGTGGTGTGCTGTCCTGGACCAATACCAGCTAGCTGCCAGGAAATCATGGGATAGCACAAGGACATCACAGGTCTCCTCTTCCAGGAGAGCCGGTGGTAGCCAGTTGCTCTGGCCTTTACAGGCAGAATTCTCCTTCTTGGCCATCACTCTGCCCCTAAGCCTAGCAGGATAGTAAGGTGGGCTGAGACATTGGCCCATTCAAGATAACAACACACATTAAATTGCACTGTTGACTCCAGAGAACAATATCCATGTTAGTAGTTCTTATTTCCAGCTGCTAAGAGATTAATAACAGTGCTAATTGCCCAGAACTGTATGTCTGTGCTCCCTGCTCTTGATTCAGCTTAAAGTGTTTTCCAAAAAGGCAAGCACTTACAACTTTGGACTTGTGCCTCAGACGAGAATCAGGTAAAGTCCATATGTAAAATTAAATCTGAGTGTTGTTAAAATTACACTGGATAATCTTTTAGGAAGGTCCATGAGGGATATGATCATGCCTCCTCAGTAAGTCCAACAGAGCCGTTTGGGTTTGTTTTTTTTTTTTGTTTTTTTTTTTTTTCTTTTCCCCTTGAGTGCTGAAATAAATTGCTATTTCTTTGATCAGCAAATGCAGTAGTTTAGCTTGCAAGATTTACACCTTTAAAAATAAGAATTAAAGTCAATGCGGGGAGATGCTCTCGCATCGGAATTGAGACCAAATCAGGAAACAGCAGATGTGAGTCATTCCTCTTATGTTCTCTCCTGGGAATATACTCTTTGTGTGGAATAAGTCCCAGCCAAACCAAAAGCTGTTTGCAGCCCAAGTGAGGCAAGCACTCAAGTCTCCTGAGCTCCCAAATTGGCATCCTTTGTATTATACTTTTCTTCTCTTGAAATAAATTAATAGCTTACTATTAGAAGATAGTCGATCCCCCACAAATTTTGATATACTGGAGGACCATCAAAAGAAAATGTCCTGTGGACCTAAGGAGCCCCAGGAATGGTCATTTAAAACCAAAGAACCATCTTTGGATCTCTTGCTGGAGTGTTAGGAAACACATCCTTTGTGTTGTTTGTTCATAGCCATCACACAGATCACTGTTGACACTTGCCCCAAGTGACATCCAGCCATTCTGGAAGGAAAAGTGATACTTTTATCCTGAATCAGCGGTCTGTCTCCTCCCCTTGCTATCCAGATGAGCCTCATCCGAGGTATGAGGGTAGAATGCCATGATTAATTTCTCTTGTCCCCGGAAAAATAGGAGCCAGGACAGGAAATGAACATATTATGTGGTCCAAACAGGTGTTTATTATTTAAGGCAATGAGATGTCTCATTACAATCCCATTACACCTTCAAAGAATAGCCCCAGCTTGGGTGGAGTGATCTGCCAGAAAGATGCCTGTATTTCATGGCCTTCTATCAAAGTCAGGGCTGCCTTGGCTGGAAAGGAACAAAGCTTTATGCCCACCAAAGGAATCGAGACAAACCAGCACTTTCATGTTCAAATTTTCTGTAATCATCTACTGCCATTGTATCAGCTATTGAAAGACCATGGTTACCCTGAGCTGTGTTAAAAAAAATAATAATAATAACATAATGGTAACACTGACCGGAGAGGGAGATGGGGAGACTTTAATGTTGCTGCCGCTATTAAAAACATGAGCCCCGCCCCTCCAACCCAGGCTGGGAGACATGGTGATGGTTTCCTTCCCTTAACTTACGTGGAGCTCATTCTGAGCTACTCAAGGGAGATGAATGAGGCAATACATATGAAAGTGCTTTGAGCATTTTGGAGGACAGATACTCTATAAAAGCAAGGTAATATTATTATCAGAATGGATCTAGTTGTCTCTGTGGTGGGAGATCGATGGGAACAGGGTCGTGAGTGGTGCAGAGTTTGGTTGGCAGCAGGAGGCCCGGATTCCAGACCTGCATCTGCCACTAACCTGCTTTGAAGCCTTCGACTGGCTTACCAATTTCTCCTTCTCTGTGTTTTTGTTTTGTTTTGTTTTTACATTTTTAAAATGAAATAAATATTACTCTGAATAAAATGTCCTTAGAGATGCTTCATGAAAATTTGGTTCCATGATCAAATAATCTTAAGAAAAAAATGAACTCCATTCTATGCCCCTTGCCTCAAGAGTAACGGTAGGTCACTGGTGTCAAAAGCTCTAGGATGTCCTGTGAGCAAGAAAACTCTATAACTCGGCATTAATCAAAACATTTTACAAAGGGATCCATTAAAAAAAAAGTCTATTAGAATCCATCAATGCTGATGTCCTATGGAACAGATTTTGGGAAACACTCTAGTAGATCTCAAAGGTCACTTCTTGTTCTAAAATTTTGTGTCTCAGTAAAAGTATTGAACATAAAGTGCCACTTTATGTAGAAAGAGTGTATTTTCCTGATAGAGGAGAATGTAGGCAAGAAGAGAAAAGAAAGATGACATTTAAATATGTCACATCTTTCAATTAAGATATCTGAGACCAACATTTTTTAAGTCTCTTCAGTGTAATTGGATTATATGGAGAGAGAGAGAGAGAGAGAGAGAGAGAGAGAGAGAGATCTGATCTTGGCCCTTATCTAGAGATGGCCATTTGAATCTGTTATGGTTACTCGACTAGTTCTCTAGGTGACCTTGAAGCACTGTTTTAGTTCCGAATCTACAAAACAAAAATTTGCATGAGTTGGGATAATATAGTTGATATATCTAGCCCTCAGCGTTTATTAACGAGATTATCTGTGATGACCTGGACTTCAGAGGTTCACCAGTGCCCAAATTCACTCCAAAGGCACAGAGGTGGACAATAGTTACGTGGGGGCCAGATCTGTGCTTAAATATTTTGAATTGAATTCAGGAAAGATGCTGCATCCTGCTTACTTGTGAATTGGGAGTAGTTATGTGAGGATTCCAAATGGCAGAATAACTATTTGAGTTTTTGTCCTTTAGGAAGTGGGGAACCATAGAAAGTTTGGCCCTCAGTGGTTGAATGGCCCTTGGGCTAATTTCCATAGCTAATCCCCTCCATTACAAAGAAGCAAAATACTTGCATGAACCACTTTTTATTAAGTATACTAGTTAGCCCGCCAACATTTGCAGTGAACAGAAAAGCCAAATCAACCTCGCTTCATCAACAAAGGGGATTTAACAGATGCTATGTGTCAGGCACTCTTCTAAGTGCTTACCACTTAGTAACTGATTTAATCCTCCTAACTTCATGGAGGGCACACTAATATCTCTGTTTTGCAGGTAGAAATTCTCAGACGCAGAGTTTAGTTCACACAGCTAAGTTATAGAGGGAGGATCTGAACTCAAGTAGTTTTACTTCAAAGTCCATTCTTTTAACCATTTTGTTCTACTGTTCTCTCTAACTGAAAGGTTTACAGGTGGGGCAGGCTTCTTAGCTGTCCACAATCAAAGGCTCAAAGACTTTCACAGAATGTGGCCTATCTCTCTTCCTTTTGAGCCTGTTTTCTTCAGGACTGGCTTCATCCCCTGCCTCCCCTCCAAGATATGACTCCATCAGATCTAGACTTTTTTTTTTTTTTTTTTTTACTTTCTGATAATACCCGTGTCATTGTAGAATTGTTTCTTATTGACTTCGTGTTGCATACCCATCACTGATCCAACCACTGTGGTCAGAGATATTGAATATTCTGAATGCTAAGCCAATAAGCTCTTTTCTGGTGTTGAGGGTAGCAAAAAGTAGCAAAGACTAAGTACAGGGAGGAAATTTGTCTGAGAGTAATAAGGGTGTTTTCAAAGAACATTAACTACAATTATCAGAAGAAATGGAATAGACATTTGACTGATAAAAACAATGGCCAACTTCCATACTAAACATAAGTTTGCATTATTGATTCACATTGAATTAATGGGAAAGATTCATTTTTGGCCTCCCACTCTGTATTCTTTATATAAAAGCATTACCAAACTCTAGAGTATGGCATGTGAGACCGAAGTAGGGGTGAGGAATATGAAACTCTGTGGATGAAGACTTCTTCCTTCTGGGATCATCAGAGTTCACTGTGATCATGGTAAAGGAGGGAGAGACTCGTTCCTATATGTTTAGAGCAAGGTCCAAGCTGAATTGCTGATCGTTTGGTTGAAAGAACGTGGGCATATATTACAAAGAGAAATTTAGGTTAGAAGTTAGTAGAACTTTCTAGTACTGAAATTCTTGCCAAAGAAGATTGGAAGTTCCCTTGAAGCTTTTCAAGGATGGAGGATGATCCATCTGGGAAGATTTGAGTACTAAGCTACACAAAATCCAAGAATCTTTCCATACTGTTCTTCAGTCCTTATGCTTATTTGTAATTCTGTTTTTGTTTTGTTTTGATTTTTGGTTTTTGAAAGTTACACCAGTGTGCAGTAGACAGCTGCCAAGAGCTTATGTACAGAAGACGGCAAGCCTTGGTCTGAGGCAGCAAGCCTTGGTCTGTGTCAGCCTCCCCTGAACATCCACTTCTCTGGACTTCTGAATGGGGAAGAAAGGATTTGGAATTCTCATTCCGGGGACATGTGCTCACTGCCTCCACATTACCTTTGCCTTGGACTACCAGAGTCTGAAAGGAGGCCTCTTTTTTCCTCTCTCACTTAAGGTTCCCTGCTGAACTTCTCAGAGTAAAGGTCTAGATAAGTCACTTAGTCCTTGACCACTCATTGATGTGAAGATGAGTGCTTTGAGGTGATTCTCAGGTGAATGTTTTCCTCAGGGGCTTCTGGGAGTTGCTGAGCCTTAGGGAATGTTTCTCAAACTTTAATGTGCATATGAATCACTCAGATTTTATTTACATACAGATTTTTGATTCAGTAAGTAAGGCCTGAGATTCAGTGTGTCTACCAAGCTCACAGGTGATGCCCATGCTGGTGGCCCATGGACCACTCTGAGAGAAGCAGGACTTACCTATTTTCTCTCTGTCTCTCCAAGTTTTCCTCATATTTGCTCCACATAAGCCTTCTGAACACGTACCATGTTTGTGCCTGGCCAAGTATATCAGGATGACTGATTCTCCAAAGTTATACATATTTGAGAAAGTATTCTTCAATTATTTAATGCGGTAATTAAATTATAAGTGAGCTACCAGGCATCTCTCTGCCCAGTTTTCTCATGACCTTATTGCCTAACCCCACAAATGACGAAGGAAATGATTAACATTTACCTAATTAATTACTATTTCATGAGTATACAAAAGGAAAATTTTTATCTTCCATGACAGTGCCTAAGAGCCTATTCTGGTATTCTTCATGAGATTCCACTCTCTTTGGACACATGCCATATTAACATATGAAGCTCTTCATCCTTTTCACTTCTCTGTGTCTTTCTTCAGGACATGCACGTCATCAGCACAGATGAGAATCAAGTGTTTGCAGCGGTTCAAGAATGGAACCAAAATGACACCTACAACCTCTATATCTCAGACACCCGTGGGGTCTATTTCACACTGGCCTTGGAGAATGTCCAGAGCAACAGAGGTCCTGAGGGCAACATCATGATCGACCTCTATGAGGTATGTCACAAGGCATGTGTAGTCCTGAGCCCCTGCAGTGCCTGGGCTGGCAGTTAATGTTAATAAGGGCGCACCATTGGCTGTCACCTCCATCATTTTAATTCCTAGTTCCTTATGTGGCCTCATTTCATTTGGGAGAGGGGAGGATTTGTAGAACATTTTTATTGGTCAATTTGCATTCCACATAACACCTCTGGGAGGAATCCTTTCTTGATGAAGTCCACAGTCCAATGAAGTCTCCAGGGACCTGGAGAGAGTGTCTGGGGAAGCAGTCAAACAATTGAAAGGTTTGAACAGGGTGCCTGGGTGGCTCAGTTGGTTAGGCGACTGCCTTCGGCTCAGGTCATGATCCTGAAGTCCCGGGATCGAGTCCCACATCGGGCTCCCTGCTCGGCGGGGAGTCTGCTTCTCCCTCTGACCCTCTTCCCTCTCATGCTCTCTATCTCTCGTTCTCTCTCTCTCAAATAAATAAATAAAATCTTTAAAAAAAAAAAAAAGAAAGGTTTGAACAAGGGTGATCCTAGTGTGAAATTTGAAAATTATCTTGAAGGGCAAACAGGGTGTCAGAGTTTGAGCAAAGGGGCAGTGGGCATCCTCCTTTCCTCTCTGAAGAAGGAACAGGGCAAGGCAGGGGGGTATTGCACTAGAAGATACTCCCATTGGACCTGAATACTTTTCTAAACTGGTAGCTTCCACTGGCTAATTGTCATCTCCTCAGAGGGCCAGTGAGTGAGACAAAACTGATAGGTCTTTCTCTACTAAATGGGAAGGGGGTAGGTAGAGACAAAAAACAGAGTTTACCATATTTCCCTAAAACAGCTATGGCCCTTTGTTTCTCAGAATGACCAGGATACAAAATAAAACCATATATGTTAGATTGCTTAGCTTTCATAACAAATACCAACACTTGAATGCCATTTAAAGCATGGCTAGGTAGAAAGCAAGCTGCTATTTGGGGATGGATTTTGGCATTTGTCAGTCTTATCTTGCACCATGAAGGATTTATAGCAGGTTATAATGAGCCATTACAAAATGTATTGAGAATTTGGGAAGTACACTCATTTACCTACATCCTATCTGAAAAAAAATCTGAAACTGATTCACATATGTATAGTCATAATGATGCTGTCTTTTGGATGAGTATAAGTTCATAGAGTCAAGAGGTTGTTTATATAACGAGAAGCAAGGGAATGATATCTAGTATATCAAAGAAAGGAACCAATGTCATTTAACAAATTTAAACCTATCATTGTAATACCTTTTAATGCTGTCTACCCACCCCTCTTCTCCTTTAGGAGCTCTTGGGGATTTTCTTCTAGTGTGTAAACTTCTCTGTATGTATAAAGTCATGTTAACAAACTTGCATGCCCCATTCAGAGCCCAAACTAGCGTGAGACATAGTTTGTGTGTATATATTTAGAAAAATGCACTGCAGACTTTTTTACACATTCACAAAGTTTTTCCACTCTTTTCCTGCCTATGTTCCAGATAAATATAGTAGTATCATGTATCTCAGCCTCAAACTGAACATGTATTCTGGAAAACATTTACATATTCTGGTGATTTAGTTTCAAATTCATGTTGGATAAAATTGTGATTTAAAGTATAAATTTTGGAGTCAGGCTGCCTGGATTTAAATCCTAGCTACACCACATGTATGTCTTCTAGAGACAAAGCCAAGAACTTCCAAGCCTCAGTTTCCTTGTTTAAAATATGGAGCTATACATGATACCTACTTGATAGAATTTCTGAGGATTACTTAAGTTAATCTTACCGTGTGTACTATGAACAGTGCCAAAAATGCATCAATATTCAACAAATTATAATATAATTAATATTATATTCCAATGAGGTTAAGCCCCCATACAATGTTCTGTTCTTATAGTCTTAAAATCTACCCACATTTTTAAAATATCCAATACACTTCCATACTTTTGGATCTTTGTTTCTTCCCATATTGCACTTAGCATGGCCATAGGATGTTGCTTAACGCCAACCAGTCATCTTCTTATAAACAAGTGTTTTATTTCCTCATTTGTAAATGTCGTGCAAACATTTAAATTGTTAGTGCGTTTTGTTGAAATGCCACGCATGTTCATGGCTGATTCCAGCATTTACAATATAAATATCTTGCTTCAAGAGTCTGATAAGAAGTCAAAGCGGCTGCCCCAGATAAATCACATGGTTTGCTTCCCTGGCCTTGACTCGGTCCTTGTTCTCCCAAAAACATTTTCTCATTTTCAGGTTGCATTTTTCCCCTTTTTGATTAACTTCTCCCCTCTTTTCAAGTCACTGTGAAAGCATTTTTTCTGGGATAAATTTTGTTTTCTGCCAAAACAGAGACCATTCTAATTGGTCCCTTGATGATGACAAAAGACAGATTTGGACAGGGACAGCTTTGCAATGTTCTGTTATTTACACCTGTTTTCCTGAATGGTTTTCTGAATTCAGATATTGCTAACAGGCATGGAATGAGAAGAGGAAACAGGGTAACTTCTGGACATGGCAAATCATTTCTTGGTTAATCCTTGTGTTTCCCTTTTGTGTCTCTCTTGCATTTGACTGTCCGTAGGACAACTGCTGGCTCTTATTATAATCACTGTGAGCAGTGGTGTGACTGCATTATGTAAAGGTGTTCTGTATCCCGGGGCCTGGGAAGAAGAGTCTTTGGTTTTATTAGCCTGACGGTTTGCAGCAACTTGAATTGAAATTGATGTGATCAGAATGGCGGTGCCGTATCTGCTGATTACCTAGATAGAAAGAATATTGGCTGACGTGGAACCTGGCACAAATGTTCCTTAAATCTGATTGTTCTGGCTAGCAACAAGCTGAAAGCCATCCAGCTTGAATTTCCCAGTAGAATTGCAATGAATGATGAGTGCATAGAGATAAATGAAAAGTAAGAAAATCCATAAATGAATTAATAAGGAGCATAGATGAGCAACATATGAGGTAGGGGTGACAAAGATAGAATATATGGAGTGCACGTCTGCTCACATTTGGGGGTGACTGAGGAGGATGGTGTGAGTTCTTTGCTTGTATGCTTCTGCATGCCAACGACCTGTCATTCCTGTGTGTTCTTTAAGCTGTGTTAGCAGAGGCAAACTGTGTAATGTATAATGATATGAGTCTGTGTATCAAGGAGATCTATTGTTGATGAGTCTTTGTGAAGCACATTTCTCATTAAATTCAATCATTTTGTTCACATACACACATTGAAACCTTACAACAAACGTGGCTCTCTCTGCCCTAGAGGTACATGTGTGCATGTGATGTTGGGGACAGAGTGTTGGATGACCATCTTACATGGTTCAATTATTCAAATACCAGAATTTTCCTGAGTCAGTTGACTACTGAACTTGAACTACATTCAAAAGACTCAAGAGATGTTAGGCAGGAAAGTGGGCCACAGAGCAAAAATGCTGGATAGTGATTTTTGTTGATGAAAGTTCATAATAACAACAGATAATATTTTGGGTGCCAGTATGTGCCAGGCACCGTGTAAAGAACTTTCCATAATTATCTCATTCAATCCATGTATTAACTCTATGATGCTGGGACAATGATTACTTCCACTTTAAACATAAGTAAATGGAGGCAGAAAATGCTATCATTTTTGCAAGATTACAACATTAGTTGTGGCAGAATTAGGATCTGAATCCTAGAGTATGCAAACTCTTAAGAACAAACTATTTGTGTCTCTCGAAAGATTTGGGCTTGTATTTGATTGTGGCCCAGTAATAGCCCTTAGACTGGAGGTCATTGAAGGGTAGAATAAATAGTATTAGACTTAACTAGAAGTAGAAGAAACCAGACAAGAAAAATGAAACAGTCTTGAAAAAGCCAACATAAACAGAATCCACAAATGATAGCTCTGGACCTATTCACACCTTCTGACCCAAGTCCTGAGTCTGCAGTTATAGCTCAATTCAGGCAGTACTATCATTATGCCTCCCAATTTTGTCTGGTGGATATGTTTCCATAAGAGAAGCCTAGGAACAAGCGTCCTAAAATTCTGTCATTCCTGAAAGCACAAATGCTCCAGTGGCATCACACGTGGGATGGGTAACGGAAGATGGCGCCTGATGGTGGCCAGAGCAAAGGAGACATGATGAAAGTGTGTCTGTAGTGTTTTCGTGTGGTGTGGTTGATGAGAGGGGGTCTGACAGCTTTGGACAATATCCTCCCTCCTCTGGGAAGAGAGTATTAATTAATGATGATGAAGAGCACTTTGGCTTACTGGACAATGACAGTTCACCCCAGCCAAGTAGAAAGGGCTGTGTTGGGAGTGAAGCCACCTGGCTGGCACATTCGGAATGCACAGAATGTGCGCACACATGAGTGAGCACGGTGGGCATCATGGAAGACATAACCAACGAGCAGTTCATGTTCGGTTACACACATCATGTCTTCTGCACATGGTGAGTGCCCCCTCTTTAAAAGAGAAAGCTCAACAGTTGTGACGTGTACTTACACCTTGATTGCTTGGGGAAAGGTGCCTCTTACAATCCAGCATAGGAGGTGGAGAAGAAAAATGCTCTCCCTTCCGGCGCATATTGCTTACAGGACATGGAATGTTACCGTCTAATTATACTTAAGGCTACTCTCTCCTTAGGAGAGGAGTTCTTCCTGGCTAAGTCAGTAGAGGGAAGAAAAGAACACTTGGGCATTTGGGGGGAGTAGGCTTCTTGATTGCAAAGTCACCCCTGGCCTTTCTCCCTCTGAGTTTGTGTTTCTCTTGGCTGCAGTCCTCTCTTTAGAACAGAAAAATATCCTATGTCCAAAGCCCAAAGAAATTATGGTCACGGATATGTTCTCTTTCTTGCCATGCTTGTTGATTCGTAATTTTTATTCTTTTCTAATTTTGACACCTCGGCTTTGTAGTTGCAGTCTGAGACAGAGAGGGTGGGAGGGGTCATCTCCCAGTTAAGCAGTAGAATCAGAAATAAGCAGAAACTCTTATTCGGGGCGGGGGGGCGGGGGGTGTCTTCCCAGCTTAGCCTCCGGTGGAGCACGTGAAAGAAAGATTGAGATACAAGAGCGCTCCGTAGAGATGCATATAAAAAACAAAGGAAGTAGGTGGGTGGAGACATATCAGCATGTTATCCAAGGGAGTGGGAGACAGCCTGTATGAACCTGGGCAGTGAAATAGGAGAAGGGAGGGCAGCAATGTGAAGCTGGCTCCCAGGGGCACACTAAGTGTGCGGATGTGCTTTGTGGTAGCTTGAGGTTTAAGCTGTAACGCTGCGTATTTAAAGTCTAACCAGAACCGTGTTTTGGCTCCTGTGAGATTAGAGAATAAGAAATAATAACTAAATACCTTTGAGACTTCTGGTATCACACTCCCCATATGAGAGGCAAAGAAAGATAAGTGGCTTCTCAACTCACTCAGCATTTTTGAGCAGAATTCAGAAAGGTAAAAAAGATAACAGGTCTTTCCCCAAAGGAAGACAGACTCCCTGATGTGAGTGTCATTGCCATAGGAATGTCACTCTCAGAAACTGTCCATGTTCACATGAAGGCATGTCTTCGTCAGGAATATTACTTTTTCCCATCTTGCGCCATCCCTCAGCCCTACCCCATTCCACACAAATATGCACATACTCTGAATATTGAGGTTGTCTGGCAACATAAACCTTTCTCCCCATCCTCAGTGAAACCCCAGACCTTATACATACATATGCACATACATGTACCCACCAGTACACACACATTCCATATTTTGGGCACTGACACTGCTCCCTTGATATCTAAAGTGATATCCAAAGTAAGAGGCGAGAGGTTTCAAGAAATAGAAGGTGAGACCTCACAAAAGAGCCCTTGAGGAAAGTGTTTTATGCCTAGAGGGGCACCAAGACACCCAGGAAGATGGGCTTCTCAGGCTCAGAGCAAAAGGAGGAGTGGATGGCCCAAGAAACTAAAGAGCCAGGGTGACCATCTCTGCAGAGTGGACCGAAAAAGCAAGAAAAATAAAAAGACACCACACGTGGGACTTTCACAGATACAGTGCCTTGGCCACAAGAGGAAAATAAGCAGACCCACTCCAGCTCCATCCCCTATTGTCACCCATTTTCCCTGCTTTGGCAAGTTTTTATTCACCAAGGTAAACCCGAGGGCCAGGCTGCCAAAGATGAATTACAAAGCGCAGCTCTCCACTCAAGTGGCATTTGATAATGCCAAGCAGTCGGGGGCCAATAAAGTCACCGCTTCTGCAAATCAAATGAACCAGCTCCTAAACACATACAACCCTGATCTGACACTCTTGCCAAAAGAGGGAGAGGCAGGAAGGAAAATGGGCAAGGAAACTACTGGAATAGGTAATAATTTCATTCTTTCTGTGCTTTACCATAACCTAGAGTGTCGAATGGTTAAGACAGCATTGTTTCTCATGGACGAGTATGCTGTGGAGAGAAAACGAGCATGACTTGTGAAAATTCTGATTCATGAAATTTCATTTTTAAAGAACTGGCAGTTTAGTCATATTTAAATATGTAACAGCCTCTGGAACATATGCAAAACCAATATGGGGTTCCCTGGTGAGCAGTCCTTATGGAGCTGGGATAGTGAATAACTAAATACTATTCGTAATTAACATACCATCCTTGGGAGGTACAGTGCCCCTGGAATTTATGTTTCCCACATTTGTTGAGGATCAACAATGCATAAGAAACCGCTTGCTGTTGATTGCCCAAGTGAGGCTTGTTTTCCTAAGTAGTTCCAAGTATTCCTCCCAGCTACTTATTTATACCATTTATTTGCTTAACAAATATGTCGTTCCAAAAGAATACAAAGTTGGCCCAACTCTAAATTATCCCATATGCCACATCAGCAGGTACAAACTAATGAGGTTTGACCGTGTCAAAAGCCAAGGTAAAATGTACATACTCTGTTGATCGAGACCCGACCTCTTTGAGTTGAGAAATTCAGAGCTGTATTTGTTAAAAGAACATTGGAAGTCGGACAGATTTGAATGTGAACCCCAACTGTCTGTTATCATAAGCAATTAAATTTTGTCTATGCATCAGTTTCTTCGTCCATAGAATCTGGGCCATAGCTATGAGGCAGGTTTGTAGTGAATATCGGAGGTTTGGTATATAAATCACTGGGCATAGTGCTGGGTGAATGGCACAGACTCATGCTCTTTTTTCACTCTTCTGCTTATAAATGTTCATATTCTCCTATAAAGGGCCTGAGATAAGTGGGTTCAAATATACTTGTTAGCTTGTCCACTTACTACCACCACCTGTGCTCCACAAAACCACTCATTCTAAGGTTCTGTTTCCTTATCTTCAAAATGTGGCTGCCGGTAACTCTATCTCATGGTTACCGTGAGCATTAAATGGGATGGCCTGTGCTGTTGCACACATTCAGATCCTTCTCTCACTGGCCCTCAGTCTTCCTGGGTTGTCATGATAACAAGTAGGGTAAAATGAGTATGAATGCAGTTAATACACCCGAAGACGCTTGAAAAATACGGGACACAAGTCATGATTTGTTATTTCACGGCTTCATCAACTTACCCAGTTGACCTCTTTCTTCAAGTATGGAAGAGAGAAGGCAATCATATTGTCAGAGCCAAGTAATTAATGTGGACTGGTTACAGTGGGAACAAGGTGTTTTAGGAACGGAGGAAGGAATGACTGCACAGCTTAGGGAAACCACTGCTTCTTTATGTTGAAATGCTGTTCTCTTCTGTTCAGTATATTCCAGTGGCTTAACAGAGCCATCTTTTTACAGGAAAAAAAAAGAGGGGGGAACAATAGCAATTGGATCATGAGCTTTAAACTGACCTTTTTCAATTGCCGCAGGCTGTAGATAGCTCAGTGACTTAGATAGTTGTTAAGAGCATGGCCTGTGAAGCCATCAGCTCTGGGTTAAAATTCCAGGTCTGCCACTTACTCTCTGTGTGACTTTAGGCGGCATGACCTTGGAGAAGTCACTTTACCCGGATGAGCCTCGGTTTTCTCATACGTGAAAAAGAATAGGTTATACTTAGCCAAGAGGATTGCTACAAAGATTAAATGAGATCAAGTATTTAAGAGCATGGGTGCTATGCCTAACATAAAATTAAGGTAGCCCCATGTACGTATCATTTACCAAGCAGCAGAACTGAAAGCACCAGATTGTAACTCTAGGTGATGGTGAGCTACCACTAACCTACCTTAGAGGAAATAAGAAGTTTCTATCCAACTTAGGATACAACCGCCGTACCATAAGGGGCAAAGATATATTCCTTTTCTGTCCCATAGTCCAGGGAGTCATTATACTTAAGCATTACCCCCTTCCCCCATCCTCACCCTCTCTTTTCTCCAAGACAAGTGCTTAAGCTGAATCTGACAGTCCGCATTTTTTTAAGTAAACAAATATATCCTATCTCAAATTGATGTATTTTTCAGCCATGTCAATTTTTCCCAGGTAGCAGGGATAAAGGGAATGTTCTTGGCTAACAAGAAGATTGACCACCAAGTGAAGACTTTCATCACGTATAACAAAGGCCGAGACTGGCGTTTGCTGCAGGCACCGGACACGGATCTAAGGGGGGACCCTGTACACTGCTTACTGGTGAGTTTTCACCTTGGAGAAGTATGTTCCGCACAGCGGAGGGCTGGAAGTGGATATTAAACAGGCATATGAAGTGGGTTCCAGGGCTCGTTGTTCAGTTGGTGAACAAAAGGGGACAGGGCTGGGCGTGCAGGCACTCTGCTGCCTTACATGCTGGGCCAGAGAGGTGGGAGGGCATGAGTGGGCTCCTTGCTCACATCAAGGATTCCGAGTTGTGACCAAGTTCTGTTGAGAACCTCAAATTGTAGTTTCAGGGAGAATGCAATAGTTTCCATATATGGTGGGGATATACACCCTTACTTTCCCATGAATGGCTTGTTACATATCCAATGATGCATAAATTCAGCTGCAGAACTGATGAACTGAAAGGAGAATTTTGTAGATGTGTTTTCCAGCAAAGGTGTTTAGTCATATTTTCAGTGGAGTTTATGCCTCAAATAAGGGTAAGAACCACTGATCTAAACCCTCTTTTGTACTCTTTGTAATATGTTCCGTTCATCTATGTCTCATTCCGTGAAGCTGGGGTTGGTAAACTATATGGCCTGTGGAGCCAAGATGACCCACCAGTTGTTTTTCTGAATAAAGTTTTACTAGAACGCAGTCATGTTTAGTTGTAGACCCACTGTGGCTGCTTTTGCTCTACATGGCAGAACTGAGCAGTCACAGCAGGAACTGTATGGTCTATAAAGCCTCCAGCATTTATTATCTGGCCCTTTAAAAAAGGTTTACTGTCCCCTCCTTTGAAGCATGGCATTCTTTTAGTTGTCTAACATTTGGACACTGAGTAGATAGATGAGCATGAATTTATCTATGTATTTGATTATATGAAGGTGTCCAAGAGAGGGATCAGAGCTGAGTCTTGCCCTCAAGGAGTTTACAGTCTACTTGAAAGAGACTAGATTAATAAATGCAAGATTAGAGGGTCACATCCCACTCCTCACTGTAGCTCTGGTGCTGCCCTGTGCTTGACACATGAATATATACTGAGTGATGCAAAAGGAGGGGAGGAAGAGATTAATAATTGCAAAACAAAGTATACATAAGTGCTAATTTCTCTGAAATAGTTTATAAAAAGGAGAGATCAGTATGTAAACAGGGGAGACTTCTTCATTTTAGTATGAAGGGTTTAGTTGTGTGTCTACACACACACACACACACACACACACACACACACACATCAGTGTTCACACTCTCCATACAATTCTGACCTTGGTGTTATCCACACTCAGCTTGCTTTGTCCCATCAAGTCTGAACAGTCCCTTTGCAGGTTCATCTCATACTGCTGTGGGCAGGTCACCCTCCTACCCAAGAAGATGCCAGCAGCCGTGGCTTGACCTAATTAGTTGCAAAGGATATCATGGTTGTCACTGTGCATCAGCAAAGCAGTCTAAAATTCAGCCTCCCACTCAGCTTCTACCCTTATTACCGGCAACTTACAGGGGGAGAAAACCAGTTGTTATCGTAAGTGCACAAAGCCAGTGACAGAGTAAGGAAATGTAACAGTTATTTATTGAATACCTACTCTGTACAAGGCACTGTTCAGTAGCATTTTAAATAACAGAGCCACCTTCCTAGTTTTACTCTTCCAAGTTGGGGCATCATGGTACTTAGCCAGAGAAGCATGGGATGCACCAGTGCCTCTCAGTATAGTCCTCCTTCCCCCCATGCACTTTGGAGATTAAATGCCCATGAGAGAGAATTAACCAAAGCACCTGAAGAGGCTTGCCTGTGATCACTCTGGCGTCATAAATGGGTCATGACAAATGCCTCTGACACACAGAGCACTTAGTGAAGTGCTTCGAACGCCACCTCCAGCCCAGTTTTAGGAAGTCTTTTTTATTTTTTTAAGATTTTATTTATTTATTTGAGATAGAGAGAGCATGAGTGGGGGGAAGGGCAGAGGGAGATGGAGAAGCAGACTCCTTGCTGAGCGGGGAGCCGGACTTGGGGCTTGATCCCAGGACCCTGAGATCATGACCTAAGCTGAAGGCAGACACTTAGCTGACTGAGCCACTCACGCACTTAGGAAGTCTTACTGTCATGCCTCCAAAATATAAATGCAGTATCAGCTTGCTTACCCATCTCCGCTGGGACTGTCATAATCCAAGCCACCCTCATTTCTCGTCTGCCCTACAGTGACGGGCTCCCAACTGGTCCTCCTGTCTCTACCTGGCAATCTCTTTGCCACACAGCAACCAATGAGATCTTTTCTTTTGCAATCTAACTTTACTGAGGTAAAACATACATAAAAAAGTACCCGTTTTAAGAGTATAGTTTGACAAATCTTGACAAGTGTAGATACCTATGTGAGCACTACCACAGTAAAGATAGAACATTTTTATCACCCTCAAAAATTCCTTTGTGCCCTTCGCAGTCATTTTCCACTCCTCCTGGCCCTAGACAACCACAAATCTGCTTTTCTTTACTATAGATTAGATTTATCTTTTCTCAAATTTTATGTATTAAATGTATTTTTATGTAAAAAAAGATTTATCTTTTCTCAAATTTGATGTATTAAATGAGATCGACTTGACCTTTAAAAATTCAAATCTTATCCCTCCTTTACTTGAAGTTTCGAATGACTTTCTAACTCAGGTAGAATAAAGTTCCAGTACTTCACCATGGCCTGTGAGGTCTCATAGGGTCTGGCTCCTGTCTGCCTCCCCTGCCTGCTGTCCAGCCTCTGTATCCCCCCTTCCTCACATGGGCTACCCTGGGAGAGGACCGTATCTCTTTCCATACCTTGAGCTCACCATGCTTCTTTATGTCTTAGGCCCTGTATTCACCATTATTTCTCTTAAAATCCCGTTTCCCTAGTCTGGCTTTTTCTTGGCTTTCAGATTCTTGCTTGATTACCTTAATCTCAGAGACTTTCTTACGCTTTCTCGAAGGTGGTGCTTGGCCCAACTCTTTTGTACCCATGACCCTTCTCGTTCTCTGAAATCAGTGCATGTGTTTGTTGACTGTCTTTTCTACCTCCCTCTGCTAAAACGTGAGCGGCATGAGTATAGGATCTGTGTCTCTCTCTCTGGCCACTCCAGAGAATCAGCTCAAGGATTAACTACGTGGGAGGTGTTCAGCACGTGTTGTTGTTATGGGTGTCGTGTGTCTGAAGTCGATGCTCCATTGACAAGTGGTGTTGGAGTTTCACACTCGGACTTGAGTGGAAACTTTCCCTTGCCACGGACAGCCACACTGAGGGATCTGTCATAATAGCCATCTCTGAAGCTCAGAGGCTCAGGTTGACCCTACAGTTAACAAAATCAGTAGGCTCATTAAGATCCAGCAAAGATGAATTAATGGGCTCTGGATGTGTGGCACCCAGGAGTCTTTTGGCCTGCCTCCCTCATTAAACTTGTTCGATGTAGTTTCAGTCTGAGTTTTAGAAAACAGGCTGAGGAAATGAAATGGCAAAGGGAGTGGGGGGCAGGGACCAAAATCACTTATAAAAATCTGCCAAAGGCACAAAATAGGAAAGAAAATCTTTGAGCTACAGGAGACCCGGACTGTTAAAAACCTTCTTTAGGCTTGGGAGCTGGTGGCAGAGAGGAGATAAAAAGTGCTTTTAGATTGTGAGTACTTGGAAAGTGACAGTGTCACTGAAAGCACAGCCTAGTGATTAGAAAGGAGATTTTCCAGCAGGGCTGTTACAAATGTGGAACAAGTTCAGAATTACAGCCCCAAACGGAATGTCCCTGGTAAAATGCATTCTATAGAAATAACACATCCAGAGTAATTTGGGGCTGTAGTTTTAGGACTTTTAGACTGATTGCCCGGAGGGCTCAGCTAGGATTTCTTTTTCTCTGAAGAGTGCATTGTACAGTTAGATGGGGTATTACAGGTCATGGTCCGCCTGCCTCCAAAGCCTCAGGATTGGGCTCCCAAGAGGCGAGATGCGAGCTGAGCCTGTGACAAATGCTTTGGGTCCCTAGGGAAAGCATAGTGTTCTGTGGAGAGAAGCCGTGACTTCTTTATGGATTCAGTTGACAGTTCTCTGTTGGAGCTAAGCAGCCAGCTACCCCAGGAGATTCTTGACGCTGCTTTCCATTCCTTTGCACAGGCTGTGACTCCGCATGTTATGCTGGATTGGAGTGGAGCTGAATCTCCCCTTGGCCCAGAGCCCTCTCTCTTCTTTGCCATTGACTCTTTACTAAAAATCTAGTGGATTTCTAGTTCCAATTCAGGATCATAAACAGTGCAAATGTGTGTGTTCAGGGAGTGGATTTATAGGATACTATTTAAGATTTTAGCTGCTGCCTTATTATTTATAAAAGGTGCGATTTGGCTTTTCAGTGTAATACTCGGATTAGGAGCCCTTAGGGATGAGAGTACCATGAAGACGAGACCTAAAGGCTGTTAGTACAGAGGTTGGGGAAAAGAGAAAGTGGAATGAGAAGCTGATTGATCCTCAAATATATCTAACAGTTTTTTTTTAAGATTTTATTTATTTATTTGAGAGAGAGAGAATGAGAGATAGAGAGCACAAGAGGGAAGAGGGTCAGAGGGAGAAGCAGACTCCCTGCTGAGCAGGGAGCCCAATGTGGGACTCGATCCCGGGACTCCAGGATCATGACCTGAGCCGAAGGCAGTCGCTTAACCAACTGAGCCACCCAGGCGCCCTAACAGTTTTTTTAAGTTGATTTAATTCATGTTGGAGGGCATGTCTCCTATCATTTAGTAATTCTCCATTGGCCATCCACAGTGCTAAGAAGACGGTAGCTAATTAATGGATCAATTAAATCCAACAGATATTTATTGAACACTAGCAATGGCCAAAGGATTTCGCTGGTTAAAATAAGAAATAAAAGAATAAGGCAAAAGAAAGATCTTTGGGACTTAGAGGTCCATGATGGGCTTCAAGAGTCTGTGAGCTCCCTGAAATTGAACACAGAACTCTGTGTGCATTTGCCTTTGTGTAGTTTTTCTTGGGATAGCGTCCTTAATTTGCCTCAGATCCTCAAACTCTAAACCTGATCCCGAAAAGATGAAAGACGAGAGATCTAGATGTTCCTAGGATTGACCACTTGATGATATGCCATGCCCTGTGACTATGCGTGAAGACACAGAGGGCAATTTTAAAACTGTAAAGTCAGCTGCTAGGTCGCAGTGGCCTCGGTGTACAGTGCTGTATCTTCCTAAGGTGCAAAGATAAGGGGAATAGGAAGATGCCCTTGGGACAAAGTGTACTTTGACTCTACTGAGTTGCAGAGAACTCTGGAAAGATACTCACATATTTATGACATGGTTGGTAATGGGAGAAAAGAGGACAAGAAGACTGGAGACAAGGCAGGAAAGGAGAAAGGAGAGGCAGACAAAGTGCCCCCTGCCTGGGCACAATGTGCACAACTAGAGAGCCTCGTCCGGCGTCCTGCAGGAATTGGCAGTGGCTTAATAGCCATTCTAATAAACCTCTCTATTAATTTTTGGTGACATGACTTTGACAGTTGTCCAAAACTGGTCAGGTACAAAAGTTTGACTTCCAAAAGTAAAGATGAATCACTTAACATTGTTTTTCTTTGAGCATCGATGTAGATGATATAACTTCCTTGAAAAAATGAAAGAAGGGGGATAAAAAGCCACGAAATATTCTCCTCATACCAGCTGGGGGCAATCCAGTACTGCAAATGTGAGAGTGGAAAAAAAGTGCACCAAAAAGAACACTTCTAATGTGGCTGCTACAGCCTGAACTGGTATCTTTCCTTCTCAAATGAATTTATTTTGAGCCTCTGAAAGCCCTAGCAACAGAGCAGTGCCGAAATGGCCAATTGAAAATGCCCTCTTTCCTTTATAATGGCAAGTGCCCTGTGTCAAATAACCCTTGAGCAGATCAGATGGCAACTGAGCTTCACAGTCTTCGAGACTGTTGGCTGATGAAGTATGTGGCAAGCATCTGGCTCAGGATGGCAGACTTGGTGCTGCCTTAGCCACGGATGTTCTGCTCTACTGGGTGACACAAAAGGCCCACATGACTAGGCTAATCCCCAAGGAGTTCTGGACTTCTTGGAATGCCATGGAGATACTCAACATTAATCTGATGATGTGGTTTATACATTAGCCCAACGTACTTCTGGCATTGTTCTGAGTCAAATAGTCAACAAAGGTCTATCAGGTCCTCACTTATATAAAGCATTGCTTGATACTTCAAGCATTTATTGTCTCTTTCAGATTCTATGCCAGGTTCCACAGAAGACTCAAAGGTGTAGTACTTGACGTTTTCTCTTTATTTGTAGAGTTTATCTCTTAGGGAGATAAAACTGTACATACCTCAAATAGAGAATATGAGATTGCACATGGTCAAATAAACCATTGTAAATCAGAGAAGGAGAGATCCCAATAGGCTGCAGCTGTCGGGAAAACTTTCTTGGAGGCACGGTTTGCCATCTCTCCTTTTTCCTGTCTTAGCATCTGAGTGCAGCACAGCCCTGTCCGGAACCTCCGCAACCTACAACCCTACCCATTCTCGTCTTCCTCTCAGGCAAAAGGAAGCCAAACATTTGGGTCCCACTGATTCTTTTTATAGGGGCAGTCTTCCTTACTCTTATGAAACGTTGTAAAGTAAAAATGCCTTTTCTGAAAGCCTTCCATGCAATTTTCAGGCAAAACCCATCATTTATGAAGATCATTATCCCTTGAGAGTTTACTCTGCGTTGGCAGTAAGGAAAGGCCCTGTTGCAATCCGCTGTTTACCAGTATTTTAGCCGCTTTTATTCCTGCGCTTCATTTTTAGTTTGCCGTTTACTCTATGCCGTATAAATTTAATCATTGTATCTCTGTAGCTCTCTGAATATCTGCTGGCTGAGACTTACAGAGCAGAATGAAAGTAATAACAGAGATACATTGGTGATTCCAAAAACTCAAGTCGATAAGATTAGAAAGTAATCTTTCTGAGAGATGAAAAGAGATGTGGGTTCAGACACAAACTTGTAGTTTTTGACAACTCAGTACCAGAACTGTTTTAAATGAAATTCGTATAAGATTTATTATCCTGTATTTGAAAACTGTTGGTATCTTAATCAGAGAATTTGATCGAGATTTTTACACATAGATAACAAGTCCCTTAAATTTTCACTTGAATTGTTATTAGTATTGCATTTTGTCTAAAAGCATGACTTTTATATTGAATAATACTGATTCTGAGAATACCCTGACATGGATACTCTGTTGATTGCCTGGTAGATGTTAGGAAAGTTTCACATGTCATGCAGTTTCTTCTGGACAGATGAGACCAAGGTCTCCAATGGACAGTAGCCAAGCGGTGCCACTGACTTCTTCAGATCCCTCCCAGACGGAGCAAATCTTTTTCCTATCTTTATATCCAATTTTTCCTCCTCTGTCTTACCTGGCTCAACTCTTCTGCTTCTTTTCTTTGTTACTGATATCACTCAGGCCTGAAATGTTCTTTATCTTCCTGAACACCTCACCTGTAATTCATACCCATCTTTGCCTCAGGCACCATTTTCTCCTTGAAGCCTTCCTTGATCCAAAGTTGGACATAGTCGTGTCAGCCTCTAGAACTTCATGTTTCATCTTTACTGATCTTATGGCTGTTACACTAGTCTCTCTTTATGGTAATCTATAGAAAAATCTTAATTTTTTTTAAATTACCCCATAAGGGCAGAGACCAAATTTTAGTCAATATAAGTGTTTCATAAGCTACATCTAGTGCTTTACGGATAGAGTACTAAGATATTTGTTGAATGGCCAAATGGCAATCAAGGCAGTAGATCAGACCTAAAATGAAGATGCTCCCTCCTTCCCCAATTTGGTACCTGTCTTATACTTAGTGGACACCAGATATCTGTGGAATAGAAGATGAGCACATGAATGAATGGCTGGATGGGATGGGTGGATGAATGCATGGATGCTCTGAATCTGGACTTAAAATGACCATTTAGATTATATGCTTTTATGACCCTCATTTCTCCTCTTCTCAGCCCTATTGCTCACTACACCTTCACCTTAAGGTCTCCGAGAATCCCTACACATCAGGGATCATTGCCAGCCGAGACACAGCTCCCAGCATCATAGTGGCTTCAGGTAAGAAGCTTGCCTGGTGGGCTTGCCGTTGCAAACTGTATTTATTTTAAGAAGCTAGATATCTGTGCTGGGAATTTAATGAGCAAGCAAAAATATTTTGCAAGTCACCTAAACCATTGACCCTGAACAACTATGCTGAAAAACCCTGCTCACATACAGTGTTGACAGTCTCGGTCCATCTTGGGCAGCATAGATTGCCAGTAGAGCCCATTGTTAGCTTTTACAAACAGCACATTTCACTAATGGTGACATGCTCTCTCTAGGTAATATCGGTTCTGAATTATCAGACAGTGACATCAGCATGTTTGTCTCTTCAGATGCAGGGAACACCTGGAAGCAGGTAAGAAGGCATCCCGGGTCTAGTTGCTGTGGTTTAAATGACATAAACATTGTTCAGCTTGGTTAAATTCTGGGAACTCATTCAGCTATATGTAATTCCTAAAGCTTGTCAGTGTGTTTATTTTCCTTTTTGTTTTATGAGAGTCTTAAGTAAGACTGAGTTTAGCAAATACTTATGCAATATGAGTTTTTGCCATTCAATAAAAATGACCCTTTTTTCAGATCCTTTATGTAAGAAAGTTTATAAGTGGCGGTGAAACCAAATTGGATCTGACTGAATTTTTTTTCCCACAAAGAAAACCAGGATCCCAAAGAGGTTATCGTATAGGGAACAGAGAGTCTGAAGGGTAGATTATATACCCAACACTGAGTTGCCTCCATAAATTCCCCTTGCCTTGGAGTCAGAATAGAGAGGAATGCAGTGATACAGAAACAGCCATTACCCAGGTGGTATTTTGAAATGTTTAAATTTCATGTGCAGAAGACAGAGTAATAACCATCAGGGTGGGTGCATATGTTTTGAAAGGTAGAAATGGAATCTCTTTAAGCCAACGTGTTTAGCTTAAATGCTCCCTCTCTTTCTTCTGAATGAAAATTAGATACCCATAGCTTATAAAACGGACATTTAATGAGGTTTAGCAGTCATAACAAGATATGTGCCTAATGCATGGTTGTTAACACTTCAATAAATATATTTTAATAACCTACTGACGTTTAATTATCATACAATAACTAGCAAGCACCATAAATTGAAATCTAATGCACAGGTAATCACACAGAAATGAGAACACTCTGCTTTAAATTTTAGACAGAGATGTCCATGTTATGGTCCAGTTACCATTTCCTAGCTTCAGACCCTTCGTAGGCCCTCCGTGTGATTCACATGGTTTGAGAAGAGCGAGGCGGAAAGAAATTTGCTTAAGAAACCCCAGGGATATTGATCTTGGAGGTAGGTATGTAGGAATATGGACTATTAAGCTGCTTCTGGAGAACAGTTCAAGAGCCAGGATCCCATTTTGTTTCTTCCAGCACCCCAAACCAAGCAGAGAGCTCTCATATCCGTAGTCCTGGGATACCTCTTAGGTATAAGAGGTAAACAAGGGGGAAAATAATTATGTCTGTAGTGTAGCCACAGACAAGGCAATACCAACAATGCAATCATGAGAAAAGAGCACACGTCTCGTATGGAGAGGACACAGAAATTGTTTGCGGCCCGTCTGCACTGGACTTCAAGTTGATTTCTCCACATCTGGAGGAAAACCTAAAGGACACATGTACCCAAGTTGATTCCATTTTGATCAGAACTACTTTAGACTTGATAGAGAATCTGAATTGAACAAGAACAGGCTTCCTTTGTAATACTTGGAAACTGAAATAATTTCCTCTGGACAGGGCATTGTAATGAGGCAAGTCCCAGCCCCGTGAGTCACTCTACGCATGGCCTTAGGCATGTCACATCTCTCTAAACCTGTCAAAAGGAGAATGTTGGAGTGAAGTATCTCTAAGGTTTCTTCCTTCTAAAGATGTTACACAATTGGATGGTTACCCAGTATTCTGATACCGTCATCAGTGGGAATCAACAGAACTTACCACAAAAAGATGAGAATATAAACATGAATACATAACTATTAATTCTTCAGATTTCTTTTGTGGCACACCTAAAATCGTTTTATCTAACTCCAATGGTACGTGCGGCCCACCTTGGGAAGCATTGTTTATAACTGTCTTTCCAAAGATTTTTGGGAAACCCTGTTCTATCACGGGAGGGATTTATCTCCTCAGACGAAGACTAATGCTCTGAACTCTGGGCATGTGTGGGCGTGGATGTGTGTCCATGTGGATGTGTTTCCCTCTTGCAGATCTTTGAAGAAGAGCACAGTATTTTGTATCTGGATCAGGGTGGAGTCCTGGTTGCTATGAAGCACACATCTCTCCCGATTCGACATCTCTGGTAAATCATGAGTCATGGACCGGTTGGCTCCATACCACTAAGCCCAGTTGAGGAGTCAGGCTGTCAGATGGGGACTGTGTTCGTAGTAAAACATCAGCGTCTACTAGAACATAATTTATACCTTTGCTCTATTAAAATAAGATTATTGCCTGAAGTTTCACAAAAGAAGGAGGAAAGGAGATAGAAGAAGGGAAGGGAGGAGGGAAGGGGAGAGAGAGAGAGAGATTGAGCTCGATTCTGCCCCTGAGAGAGGAGTTGCATGATGGTTTTCAAATATGTCAGTACCTTCTCCAGTACCTTCCTTATTCCTTCAACACACTCCCAGGTACAGTGGCATGTCAGGTACAACGGGGAGAAGTTAAGAGTAGCTTAACGGGTATTCATTATGTGTGCTCTGCACAGAGATCAGCAGTTCAGGGCACTGTTTCCTTCTGTCTGCTTTCCCCTGATCCTACTTCCTTTGCTTTCTTTGGGCGGGGGGACAATCCACAACTCTACCTGTAGGTCTCACGCAGATGGATGTGCAAGGCCTAACTTCCAGAATGCTTTCCGGTAGCCTCCTTCATCTGTGTTTTTGAAAGGGCCTCTCTCCACAGGCAAGCTTGTTCAAACCCAAAAGCGTGATTTTCCCTCTGGTGCCAGTTACTTTGGAGACTGCAGGAAAGCTGCCGAAATAAGAGACACGTAGGCTTAGCTTGGGGGACGACATCCACAGAGAAAGGCAGAGCGAAGGAAACATCCTGTGTGACCAGCAGAGTTGCAGACCTCTCTTACTCTCAAGAGCCAGTCTTTTTGTACCCCCTCCCTCAATGACTCAGCTAGGATTCATAACAGGGTAGGAGGGAAGCCGCTCAGGATTTGCTCACTTAGAGGCAGCTGGTCCAAATCCATCTAAGTGCGTCCACTGAGGCCATTTGCTCTTCAGAATCACCAGTAAGGCTTGCTGCTAGATTGCAGTGAGGTTTTGGAGAGGGTCACATTGAGATCTAAGATCTAATAAAATATCCAAATTAAAAAAAAAATTCTATCAAAGACTTATTATTATTCCCATTTCATGCAGCTCTCCCCTTATGGCTGTTTAACACATCTGGGTCCCAGATCGCTTGGCTAACTGTATTTCTACCTTCTGATGTAATTAAGAATAGTTATTCATATAAAAGGCTCACTTTAACAGCGCCCCAGATACTTTTAAAATGTATTCTCTCTTGGCTGATAGTATCTTTCCTCTGAAAGGAATTTTTTTTCTTTTGAGATCTGATGCCTGCTATTTTTTCTTTCATTAGGTTGAGTTTTGATGAAGGGAGATCTTGGAGCAAATACAGTTTTACATCTATTCCACTTTTTGTGGATGGGGTTCTGGGTGAGCCTGGGGAGGAGACCCTAATCATGACGTAAGTGGAAAAGTATGATGTCTTCTAATCTCAAAATATAAATCCAGAAACATGTTGTATTTTGTTTTACTTTTCAAGATTTTATTTATTCATTTATTTGAGAGAGTGAGAGAGCATGAGCAGGGGGAGGGGCAGAGGCAGAGGCAGAGAATCTCAAGCAGACTCCGTGCCATGCACGGAGCCCCAGGTGGGTCTTGATCTCACAACCTTGAGATTTCCACCTGAGTCGAAACCAAAATCCGGACACCTAATGGACTGAGCCACACAGGTGCCCCCAGAAACATGTTGTTTTTAGCAAATCCTAGTCACTTTGCTACTGTTAAATTTGAAATTGCCAGCAAGGTTAGTACATCTGACTTCATGGTTTCCCAGCAAAGGGGAAAGACAAATGTGGGTGGCCATTTTCTTGGCTCTTTACTAATTAGGACACCCACACTGAGGGCTGGCAGCAGAAGGGCACAACTTATTTCTTCCTATACTGAATGGGCCTAGGGAAATTAGAAATGATTATTTCAATAGAAAATAAACTATAAATTTAAAACTTTTAATAATAAACTCAATATACAGAAAATCACAGGCGTAAAAGAATGATTTCACTTTAAGGCAGAACACAGAGCTTGATCAAAACCCCACAAAGGATTTTCTTTTTCCCTGGCTCTTTACCTAACCCACTTGTGAGGCTATATTAGAAAAACTGGGAGAAAAATCTGTTCTTGTGAAATTGTATTTGCACTCATTCTTGTCTGGAAAGTGATGATCATTAATTTGTGAAAGACTTGATTAATGAGTTGCCTGCTTAAGGGTTTCAAAACATGAACTTGGAATTTGAAACATGAAACTGCGAGGGGTTTTTTTCTTCCCCTGGAAAATTGGACATGGAAAACAGAGAGAAGGTTTTAAAGTACTCAACCCTGTCATCAATGAAAATTTAAAAGTCATAGCGAATAGTTGATACTAGTTCTAATTTTTTCTTCCCTTCTTTTAATGATAGAAAAGATCAACAAAAATTTAATATGCCCAATAGCTGCACTTTTGCCCTCCGAACACATACCCAGATTAGCAATTTGTTCCATAATTTGTCTTTATTCAGTTTTCATATTTGCAGAACGCAGATGAAAAAGGCTACCTCGTGGCTTTTCTTCACAGATGGCTATAACTGGTGATTCAAACACCCATTAGATACCCGAGTTTGAGTAAGGAGAGGATGCAGAGTGCAGGACACAGTTCTCACTCCTGGCCCTCGCCCTGCTGCCCACACTCCCCAGGGACTGGAGGGAAGGTGAAATAGCACAAAAACCGTGGGAACCACAGACCTTAGCAAGGGAACCCAGACGTGTGATCCTGCACCATGTAGAAGGCAGCACTTGCGATTGTTTTCTTAATTTTATTTTTCTTGTCAGCCATTCTTGTGGTGCAATATGCAGAAGTGGATTTTTCGTCAGACTTTACCTGGTTCTGGGTTCTGACTCGACCAGTTCTTAGCGGTTTGACTTTGGTTTTTTGCATGTTAGCGAAACTCTCTGAGCCTCAAATTATTCGTGGGTGACACGGAGCCAATAACAGTAACCCCCCTCGTCAAGTGTTTTGAGGATTAAGTGATCTGCTCAATGTAATGCGTTGAGCATTGTGCTAAGCTCGTGGTCAACACCCGGCACAAGCTGGCTACTGGAGTTGCTCCGATTTTGATTATTTTTCTCGTTATGAACTGTGTAGTGTGTTTGGACACTTCAGCCACCGCTCGGAATGGCAGCTGGTCAAAGTGGACTACAAGTCTGTTTTCGATCGACGGTGTGCCGAGGAGGACTACAGACCATGGCAGCTGCACAGCCAGGTAGGAGGCGCGGAGCTGAAGTGCAGTCCTGGGTGGAAGGCATGGGGCATCAGGTAGGTGTAGGAATCGGGGTCCTCACGGCCACAGTTTACCTCTCCGGCTACATCGGAAGCTACATCGACTGCTTTCTTACATGTTTTGTGTTCCACAGCAGTGAACAAACTCAACATTTATGGCTTGTTGTAAAGTAATTTCTTTTTTTATTATACTAGGATATAATGAGATAAAATTCAAATGTGCTTGGCTTAGACTTACGACTCAAAATGAAATACCAGCTCAGCATGCAGATCCAAACAATTTATCTGAGCATGTAGTGTGGGTGCAGGGTAGGGGCAGGGGTGAGGAAAGGATCTTCAGTTTTATCGAGCAATGCAAAGAGAGACATAAAATTATAAAATTAACCCTCGGTGAGTGGTGCCAGTAAAATCCTTCCTTGTCACCCTGTGATTCCCGGGGATTAGGCAGTGCTTCTTGCCTCCTTCCAAGGTACTCGTGGTAAGAGGATGCAGAATCATTAATAGGACACTTTCCTTCATTCTGGCCCCTCAGATGATCAGCTTGTATCAGAATGCTTAGCTAAAAGCATCTTTCCTTTGATTTCCCAAGGTGGAAGTCATTCTGCAGGGCCCTCCAAGGACGTAGCAGAGGTTCCCCCTGCATAGCCATTGCCATATCCAGGCAGTGACATATTATATCCCTAAACCTAGGCTAAGTACACTGGACCCTTTAACAACATGGGTTTGAACTGCACGGATCCACTTACATGCAGATTTTCTTTTTCAATAAATACAGTCCAGTGCTGTAAATGTATTTTCTCTTCCTTATGATTTTCTTAATATTTTCTTTTCTCTGGCTTACTTTATTGTAAGAATACAGCACGCAATACATAAAATATACAAAATCTGTGTTCATTGACTATTTATGTTATCAGTAAGGCTTCCAGTCAGAGGTAAGCTATTAGTAGTTAAGTTTTTGGGGAATCAAAAGTTATACATGGGCTTTTCGACTGTGTGAGAGGGTCAATACCTCTAACTCCTGCGTTGCTCAAGGGTCAACTGGAATATATTTAATAAAGATGTGTATATGCAATAGAGCCGGTTAAAGTGAATTTGTTCAAGAGACAAAACTCTTCTGTCTTTCAGACAGAAAGCTGAGTTTGACAGTTGGGGCTGCATCTGCTAGAATCATATACTCTTTTTGGAGACTCAACAATAAAATTATTGCTCATTTACATCACTGTTATTTTCCCTTTTGGGATCCACAGGCACTGTGATATTCAAAGCTTTTACTGTGGAGAAACACTGAGTTTAGTTCTCTCACTTGTCTGGTAGATGAACATTAAAATCAGTGCTCTAACATTGTGTGGGCAGAGGCATAATAAATCAAGGCAAAATAGATCTTTATATTTTTTAGCAATACTCTTCTTTCATATGCTCATAAATGACCAAGCACATAAATCTTTCATTATAGAAGAATTGAACTTAATTACCATAGATTTGTTGGCAACACATTCGTTATAGGCTGAGTCTGAGTTGACTGTGTGTCCCTCATAGCACGGTGCCTCATACCTTGACAAGCGAAGGTTTGCCGAATACATGAGGAATTAAGGATGTTTTTTGACACACCCTCCATGCTTCTTAGAATTGTCTTTATAGTTGCATTCTACACTAGGGTTCTAGACATCAAAATAAAATGCCATTAGCACAAAGCAGGCTACCTATGTCCAGATTACACTAAGGCTTTGGAATATCTTCCCGAGTCCCCTGATGTGGAGCAGGGAAGGTCCAAGCTATGTGTCCAACTGTCTGAGATCCTTTTGTCCTTATAGGGGGAAGCATGCATCATGGGAGCAAAGAGGATATATAAGAAGCGAAAATCAGAGCGTAAGTGTATGCAAGGAAAATATGCAGGAGCTATGGAATCTGAACCCTGTGTCTGCACAGAGGCTGATTTTGACTGGTAAGCTTTGCTGTTATTCCGTGGAGTCATTCCGTATATCAAATTCACATGGGTCTTAATGAAAGCTGAGATTTGAAATAATAGTAGCATACACCTATGCTCTCACAAGCCTCATATTCTTGTGAAATTACCTCTTGAAGACAACACGGTTTATTAGCTACGTGCATGTGTATATGGAAAAACTAGGAATTTCTTCCGACTGAAAGAGGATTCATAAGATGGCTGATAATTAGCTTCACATATCTGATAGATCTTAGGACAAAAAAAGAGTCCATATCCACCCTGAGTTGCTTCAGACAACAACACTGAAAACAATAAGTTGACTTTTTAGACAGCAAATATATCCGTGCTCAAGGTAAAGTCTTCCTAGATTCTTGGTTCCTCTTGGTACTGGAACAATCACCTTATAAGGCAGTAGATTTGCTGTCCCTGAAAGTTTTCAGTCAGTGGTTAGTTAGCTGACGATTGCTTGTGCAAGGTGTGGAAGACTTTTCTGACTTCAGTGCAAGGATTGATTCAGTGGTGTTGGCAATCTGTGATTCTGTGGACCTGGTGGTACAGAAGACTTGTCCCTCTTCCAGGATTCAGCTAGTATAAACTGGAAAGGACTAGATATTTGAGCACCCTAGCATTCTTTCTATAGCCTTTGGTAAGCAGAAAGCTGGCCTATGAGGTTGGTGCTTCCCTTGCTCCATTCTAGGTTGGGGTTTGGCCTTCAGGTGAGGTTGGAAATGATTGAGGATGAGTAGGTGGTAACTCCTTGCCTCATCTCCATCTCATTTAATGCCTTTTTTTTCTTCTTTTCTTCCTTTTGCTTTAAATTTATGTATATGTTTTGGTTTAGAGAAAGCAATTGCTGAATATATATGTCAATGTTAAATGATTGAAACTTAGCCCACGTAAGAAACCAAGTCATTCTTTTAATATTGGATATCTGCCTGTATAGCCATAACAGATCACTTATCTGATCATCAGAATATCAGCGAGTGGGCTGAGATACTGTGTGCAATACACATCATATGGCTTAGAAAAAGTAAGTCTTCTCTTATGGTAGACCTCTGGAGACATTCTCTGAATAAATAGTCCTGTGCAGGCCTGCCAGAATCGGCCACCAGTCTTCAGTCTGATAACCCAAGGCTGTTCCCCTCTTGTTAGTAGACAAGGCCAGCCAAGAGCCAGTGCTGTAACTCTTGGGCTCAGCCAGAGGGCAATAGAACTTCAGTTACATTGGAGCTCACAAGGAATTCTGCAAGGGCCTTCCCAGCTGTAACTTCTGTTTTAGCCAGTGCACCATTATTAACAATGATAAAAGTATCCTATCTCTGCCCTACCTTTCAGGATTGACACCCTGAAATGTAGTCACAGGGAAAACTTCCATGGAATTTTAAAGTCCTTCATCCCATCCCTCTTTCTGACTGCTTCTCCTTTATCCCCTCTATTCAAGGAGAGTTTGTAAAGGAGGTTAACATTTTATCTTAGTCATTTAACTTCAGCCTTACCACACAGTCGTCCTTTAGTAAAGAGCAAATTTATGCTGGTAGAGAAGCAAAGAGAAAAAGTGAGATTAGACGTCCGATTCCCCGATTTTTCCTGAAAATACTGTTGGGGGGAGCATCTTTTCTACAAGGTTCCAAAATAAGCTGGTCTTTTCTTGTTGTCATTGTCATGTGTTGTTTTTCTTTTCCAGTTTTAAGCTAGTCTAGAGTGAAAGGAACATGGGTAAGGGAGGCAATTTGGCTTCTCCCTTCCCTTACCTCTCACTCCCCTGCAGTCTTGGCCCAATTCTTGTATTCATTTGTGATTGGAATCTGCTACTCATCCCACTAACTGAAATGTATTCTGAGAAGTGGGTAATGAATCATAAATGAGGCCATTGTAAGGTTTTCTGGTCAAATGGGATTTTTATTTAGTGCATGATTTCTAAAAATATTTTGGAAGACTCACCATGACCTTGTTGAGTCTCCACCTACAGTAGCTAGAGCTTCGGTGATTCCACTTGACTGCAGTGTAATAAAAGGTGGTTGTCACTAAATGTTCCCTCTAAGCTTGGCTGTCCCCTGGACAGTCCCCCAGATGACCTTGCCTGCCATTCTTTAGCATTTGTAAAGTAATTCCCTGAAATGAACGCCGGGTGTCCTGTAGGCAGCATTTCTGAAGTCTTCCTATCCATACCATGTTGAACCAGCACCAAGTGCAGCCGATGTGTGCAGAATTCTAAGTGCCAGCTGCCTGATGACAGGCCCCTTGGCTAAGCCTGTTTCTCCCTTCCCGCCCCTTGTGTGCCAGCATCTCACCTCCATTACACAGATGGGCCAATTCATACTACTGCTTGCTGGTTACTGTCTACGATTTGTCTGTGCATGTGGAGGTGCAATTTGTTGTCATCCTCCGTGCCCAAGTTCTTCCTCCAGAAGCCAAGAATATCAGGCCATGCAGAGGTCCCTGGAGGCAAGAAAGAGAAGAGATGGAGAGAAGAGTCTTTGACTCTTTCCCAACTATGGAGAGGATTTAAAGCAGTTAGTCCCAACTGACGATGCTAACTGACTGGGACAAAACTTTTCCTTGGGGGAGTGCCCGTGACACCCCTGAAGGACATTTCCTTTTGTGCTGTGACTCTGAAGCATATGGAGCGTGCACAGAGAGACCTGGCTCAGCTATGCTTAGTAGATCCAGATATCTTGAAAGAGCACTCCAAAGACATCACCAGTAATAAAACTGTGCCACGTGTGGCTGTGTTTCTTCAGCGATGTGTGCACTGAGGCTTGAGCTTCCACTGTTGCCTGCTTTCTAACTGCAGCTTTCTTGGGGCCCAACCACCGGCAGTATTGTGGACTCTCCTCATGAGCACGTAATCTACTCTCTCAGCCTAAAGCCGTTTACTTGGAATTATTGGTCATTGAGCCTCCGTCTCTACACAGGCTTCTCTGTTGCTTTCATGTCAGCCTTTCTGGAAATGGGTCTCGTAGGATATTGTCATGGGTAAATAATTGATAGATATTCCACAGGGGAAAGAACAGTTGCATTTTTGGAAAGGTATTGATTCAGTGAATTCTTGTTTTTTGACTCATTGGCTAGAGTAGAAGCTGGCTGTGTGCTACCATGAAACTGTTCTCAGTAATTTTGCCACCTACTGAAAGGTCTCTCTTGGCTCTTTCCCCCACAGTGACTATGGGTATGAGCGACACAGCAATGGTCAGTGTCTGCCAGCATTTTGGTTCAATCCATCTTCTCTGTCAAAGGACTGCAGCTTGGGACAGAGTTATCTCAACAGTACTGGGTGAGTGTCTGAGGTGGTGACCTTAAGAGGTCAACCTCCGCTGTTTTTCAGCCGGTGTGTTAAACTTACAGAATTACATCTGATCGAAGACCAGGTCTTTTTCATTACAGCACAGTGATTTGTTTTTGTTCCTGTTAGTAATGCAGCTCAGATTTGTATTAATAGTGCAATTTTCATCTGAGAATAAGACTTCAGTTGCAAATAAAGAAACAAAACCGGTTCCTTGGATGAAGATGATGATGATAATCTATACATTTCTTCACTTTTTGATACTTCGTTTCTGAACTATTTCTGTGAACTCCCTTTCCCTGCTCACTCTATCTCTGTGAAGGGGGCCAAGTAAATATTTCATAGGTGCATTTCCTATTTTATAGATGCGGAAGATAGAGTGAACAAAGAAGCTCATTGACTTTTCAAGAGTACCCTGCTGTTAGTTGAAATGGGTTTCATTTTTGTCCTATGTCCAGTCTTGATACGTTTAAGGCATACATTCTGAGCTTTAAAAATATGGAATCAGATTCTAAAAGTTTGTGTTTAATGTTTTGAGTTGTAGGGCTTATCCAATATTATTTAAGAAATAACATAGCAGCGGCGCCTGGGTGGCTCAGTTGGTTAAGCGACTGCCTTCGGCTCAGGTCGTGATCCTGGAGTCCCGGGATCGAGTCCCGCATCAGGCTCCCTGCTCAACGGGGAGTCTGCTTCTCCCTCTGACCCTCTTCCCTCTCGTGCTCTCTCTCTCTCTCTCTCTCTCTCATTCTCTCTCAAATAAATAAATAAAATCTTTAAAAAAAAAAAAGAAATACCATAGAAAAGAAAACATTTTGTGACCACAAGTGGAGTTGATGTTTATAGACTTTAAAAATATTTTGTGGAACTTATTTGGATTCAAATTCAAGCAGTATGTAAAAAGACATCTTTGAGCCATTTGGAGAAATGGAATATGGTCTGGTGATTAGGTAATGTATTAATCAGGGATCCCCAGAGAAAGAGAATCAATAGGAGATCATATAGATGTATAGATATTATATATGTGTGTGTGTGTGTGTGTGTGTGTGTGTGTGTGTGTATTCATTATAAGGAATTGGATCACATGATTATGGAAATGGCAAGTCCAAGTCCCAAAATCTGCGAAGTGCCTTGGCAAGCTGGACGCCAAGGAGAGCTGATGGTTTGTTTCTAGTCCAAGTCTGAAGGCATGAGAACCAGGAGAGCTGATGGTGTAGTTCTGACTAAAGGCCAGAAGGCTCAAAACCCAGGAGGAGCCAGTGTTTCAGCATAAGTGTGAAGGCAGGAAAAATTCCAGTTTGAAGACAGTCAGGCAAAAATAATTCCCTCTTGCGCAGGAAAGGGTAAGCCTTTTTCTTCTATTGAGACCTTTAACATATTAGACAAGGCCCACCTACATTGGGAGAGCAATCTGCTTTACTCTGTCTTCTATTTTGAATGCTAAGCTTATCAAAAACAACCCTCACAGAATCACCCTGAATAATGTTTGACCAAATGCCTGAGCACACATGGCCGAGTCAAATCGACACATAAACTTAACTATCACAGGTAATACTAGGTTATATCTAGGTATAAATATTTATATTATATTTATTGTATTAACTAAATATAGTTATATATTTGTGTGCAATAATGGTATTTTGGATGACTAAAAAAAAGAAAACTTATTATTTATTTATTTATTTATTTATTTATTTATTTGTCAGAGAGAGCGAGCACAAGCAGGGAGAGCAGCAGGGGGAGAGGGAGAAGCAGACTCCCCGCTGAGCAGGGAGCCAGACACCACAGGGGCTCGATCCCAGGACCCTGGGATCACGACCTGAGCCAAAGGCAGACGCTTAACCGACTGAGCCACGCAGGCGTCCCAAAACCTTATCTTTTAAAGATACATGATGTATGACATTTGTTTTAAAATGTTAAAAAAAACAGGTGTTGAAAATCTTTGAAAGTGAATTAATGGAGGGCAGGCGTATTTATTATACTCTTTCCTCTCATTTGTGTATATTCGAAAATCCTGATCTTAAAACATGAGAAGGAGAGGAACTAAGGAAGGGAGGTAGGAGGAAGGGGGACGCCTCACTAGCAGGCCTGTCCCATTTGAAAATTGCGCTTCTCATTTCTCATGCCTGTGGCAGGACAGAGGTGAGGACATCCACATTTCCATTTGTGTGCTTCTGTATTTGAAATGTTTAAAAAGTTTTTTTTTTTAAGATTTTATTTATTCATTTGAGACACAGATACAGAGAAAGAGAGAGAGAGAGAGCATGAGCAGGGGCAGAGGCAGAGGGAGATGGAGAAGCAGGCTCCCCGCTGAGCCAGGAGCCCAACGTGGGGCTCGATCCCAGGACCCTGGAATCACCACCTGAGCCGAAGGCAGATGCTCAACCATCTGAGCCACCCAGGTGCCCCTAAAAAGTTTTTAAATTAAGAAAATAAATTACCATAATAGCATATACTACTCTTCTAAAGGAGGGAAACAACACAGACTTGTACCCTCAAATGTTCTTATCTCTATGGTTAGGGATTCCTAGAACTTTTGAATATAGGAATAAGCTGTGACTTATTTGTGCTATAACATAAAACCCGAGGAAAATACAAATGACATTTTTACAGCAGTGGGTCAGTGAGGCCTTCAGCATGCAGCACCGTGGGAAACCAGAAAGGGGGCTGCTGAAATGAGTACACTTAATGGTGAAGGAGCGCCGGAGAACTGAGTTTTACTACTTGCATGCACCAGCATGTTTAGACATTGTAAAGGGCACTGGGAATCCCTAATGCTAGTCTCTGAATTGATTTTTTTTTTTCACTAAGTCAAGCAAGTTAGATCATTTTTTCTTTGGTATTGATGAGGGGAGGTCCCAGTACAGAGGGGTCTAAATTATTCCACGTGCTACTCAAGTCACTGGAATAAGGCAGAGTGTAGGCTATGACCCTCACTCTTCAGTATATTGAGAATACACACACACACATTTCAGGCTACCCTTAAATAGGTTTCCCCATTCCTTTGGTAAACTTAGTATGTGAAATTCAAGTAAACCCTGACTCCTATAAAATAAAACATCAGAAATGATTAAATCATAATAAATAATCTATCCAATGGGATTTTTTCATCTATGCCCTATAAAATTAAAATTTCAATTAAAAATGTGATTCAGCAGGGGCGCCTGGGTGGCTCAGTCGGTTAAGCAGCTGCCTTCGGCTCAGGTCATGATCCTGGGGTCCTGGGATCGAGCCCCACGTCCGGCTCCCTGCTCAGCAGAGAGCCTGCTTCTCCCTCTCCTTCTGTCTGCCACTCTGCCTACTTGTGCTCTCTATCTATCTGGTGAATATATAAATAAAATCTTTAAAAAAAATGTGATTCAGCAATAAGTGTTCAGATAGATAAATGTTTGTCAATGCAGTGATGTTTATTAATCACAGAATCACAGGATTATTCCCTAGGGCTCACCTCCACTCTCAGAGCGTTGTTCATATAAGTGGGTATTACATGATAGCGTATGACCCAAAAAAATTTTTGTAAAGTTACCACATCTACTGGTTTCATCTGTTCCATTCAGACGTTTTCCAGAAAAGCATCCACATCAGTGAGTGAGCTTGTGTAAAGAAGAGGGATAAATTCCAGCCATCAGCAGGGAGGATGGAATGCCTTGCTCTCAAAAGCGAGGTGCTCACAGGTGGAGGAGTGATCACCCTCACAGGGCCCTGTGGGCTAAAGGTCGGGGGAGGGGTATGAATAGTAACCCCACCGATGGGCATATTGCCTCCTTATACATTCTGCGTTAAGGACAAGAAGACCCTTAGCTGGTACAGGTGCCTGAAATCATCTTCAAAGAAGACCTCATCCCATCAAATTCCTATTTACTGTGTCTGTAGACAACTCAAAAGTTGGCAAGAGGTAAAGTATAGATGAAATTGGAAAAGAATGCAATGTCCCTCCAGCCCTTCACCCCAGGAGCCCTGGGCTGTGTGTGGACTCGGTGGCGTTTCATGAGCACAGACTTAGTTTTTAATGTTGTAACCACTTTACTGCTGCCATTGAACATTGAGCTTTTCACTTAAAAATATTTAATTATGAAAAATATATATACATATGTTTTCTGTTTAAAAAACCAATTTAGGGGCGCCTGGGTGGCTCAGGAGTTAAGCGTCTGCCTTCGGCTCAGGTCATGGTCCCAGGGTCGTGGGATCAAGCCCCACATCGGGCTCCCTGCTCAGCAGGAAGCCTGCTTCTCCCTCTCCCAATCCTCCTGCTTGTGTTCCCTCTCTCGCTGTCTCTCTCTGTCAAATAAGTAAATAAAATCTTTAAAAAACCAATTTAGATCATCACCTCCTATCCTGCCCCCTTTTCCTGCACAACTGTGATCTCTTTGGTATGCATGCTTCCAGACACTTTGCATTTGCCAGCAAATACTTATGCCGAGAAAAAATATACAAAATTAATTTGGGAGGTTGTTCTTACGTTTCATTTCCTACTAAATATATTATTTTTCTATTTTGCTTTTCATTCAGAAATATGTCTTAAACAACTTTCTAAGACAGAGTATATAGGGCTATCTTCCATCTAATTTCTTTTAATTTGAGAGTATTAAAGCACCTGGTATTGCTTCGTCATCCCCTGTCATGGACATTTGGGTTATTTTCTGTTTTTAGCTGCTAGAAACATTGTTGCAATTAACATCCTCGTACCATAATAATTGTTATAAAAACACACAAAGATAATTGGATTCTCTTTTGGCAATTAGAAGTGTTTCTGCTAACTTGTAAAGCAAATCCCACCCAGCCAACTGCTTACTTCTTAGACCTGAGGATCCAGGCACACCAAATATTTCCCCAAAAGGATTAAAACACTAGCTTCTGGCTCACAGACTGCCAGGAGTCCCACACATTACAGATTCATTTGTATTAACTGCCATCCTCCTTTAAAATACAGATGCCAGTGGATTCTATAAGGGAAAGCTGAGTGAGATTTCCCAAAGTAAAGTAAGGAAGGTCAC